GAGGGTGTAAATCCTTACGGGAGTAGAAAGCCTCATCTTTCTCCCGCGGAGCGGCTGGTAGTTTCGAACCGCTGACCTTAGGGTTCGCAGTCCGATTCGTAACCACTACGCTACCAAAGCTCCTTCTAATAATGATCAATTCATATAATTGCTGTATAAAGGTTAGATTAAGTAATCAATTGGAAAATACTTGGTATGTTATAATCAATAAATGTTAGCTGACTTTCAGCATGTAAAAGCTTGGAATACCTTCAAAGATAATGGGTTTGCATCAGTTCTCTGAATAAAAGAATTCATAAATATATTACACTGTACTAAAAAATAGATAAGAAATCTGTTAATATAATACAAGTAGTACATCATGCTAATGACAGTAACTTTCAGTGCTTATTATATTTGAAGAACAATTCTAAGCATGGTGTGTATGGATTAATCCATCTATTTCTGACACTAACCATAATATCAATTATTACTTTACGCTAACTCAATAGGAAAAACAAACACCAACTACAAAAAAGAGATACAAAGAGACCAAGTAATGTGTCTATAATCACACAGTGAATGTACAGTTGGGATTATGGAGCAAGATAGGCTCTTAAAAACTAAACGATACCACTGTAATTTTAAGCACTATTTATCTTATCACAGTAGAAAGGGATGGTCTTAGTTATATAGTGCTGCTATAACAGAAATACGAAAAATAGTTGCCTTTAACAAACAGAAGTTTCTTTTCTCACAGTTTATTTCCAGTGCTGGCTCTAGGAGAAGGCTTTTTCAACATCTTTAGGCCCAGAATTCCTTAGAGATCTGCATGCATCTTGGCAATAAATCTTCCCCTGGATCTTCACAGTGCAGGGACCTCTGGTTCAAATTATACACTCCACTCCTAGCTCTTCTTTGTGTTAATGTTATTGTTGTTGTTGTTGTTATGTGCTGTGGAGTTGGTTCCAACTCATAGCGAACCTGCACAGGGTTTCCGAGGCTGTAAATCTTTACGGGAGCAGAACGCCTCATCTTTCTCCCGCGGAGCCGCTGGTAGTTTCGAACTGCTGACTGTGAGGTTGGCAGCCTGATTCGTAACCTCTATGCTGGAGTCATGGTATGGCACTGTAGGATAAGCACTAGACCACAAGGTTGGTTTGAGCCACAAGGTCAACTGTTCAAACTCACCAACTGCTCACTCCTTGGAAACCCTATACAGGGTCACTATGAGTCAGAACTGAACTCAATGACATGAAACAACAACAACAGGTTCCTATTTTTCTACTCACTTCTCTTTTCTTGTTATCTCTTGTAGAATAAAAAGTGTTGCAGATCACACCTCTGGTAAACCCCATGTATCATTCAGAGTTGTGATGGGATTAAGGATATTGTAGCCCACCCTGAATCCTTCTATTGGTTTATCACACCAGATCACATCATGGGGAATCATCCCATAACTGCCACATTACATCATTACACAACTGCCAAATACTGAGAATCAAGACAGCCAAATATATACATAATTTTGGGGGACACAAATCTGTGGTAGTGACAATGAAAATAATAATAATAATAAAGAGAACATGAAAAAAAAAATACCAAGTTTAACCAATTATGTTTTAAAAGACTGAGCAACGTTTTTAAAAAAGGTGTCAAATTAGTATTAATTAAGGGTTGGCTAGAATTGATGCATTTGAGTTATGGTGTTGGAGGAGAATACTGAAAGTGCCATGGGCTGCCAAAAGAACCAATAGATCCATTTTGGAAGAAGTGCAGCCAGAGTGCTCCTTGAAGGCCAAGATAGCCGAACTTTGTCTCTCATACTTTGGATATATTGTCAGGAGGGACCAGTTGCTGGAGAAGGATATCATGTTTGGTAAGGTGGAGGGTCAGAGAAAAAGAGGAAGACCCCTAACTATATGGATTGGCCAAGTGGCAGCATCGATGGACTCAAGTGTGGCATCAGTGGTGAGGTTGGCCCAGGATCAGTCAGTGTTTTGTTCTGCTGTGCATAAGGTCGCTATGAGACAGTTCCAACTCCATGGCACCTAACAACAACAAGGGTTGGCTTAGAATATATCTAAAGTTATTACCCAATTATAATATTAAGATTCACTTAATATGCAATTTCATATCTACTATCTCAATATCCACTCATTTTAAGAAAAATGATTTCTTTGTACTGATGACAAAGAAAGGCACCTGATCTAAACATGTCTAAAATTACAAAGCTTGTCTTTAAAACTGCTCTAGACAGTGTAGCAATATTTCTGAGGGATGTATTATAGTAATTTGAACCAAAGTTGAAGAGTCTAACAAGCCAATTACTTTTCCAAGCCTAAATAACTCTTCAATGATAAAAAGATATATAATAGAAGCAACTGATGTGTTCTATCAAATTAGAGGCATTTCCTATGAATTAAATCTATTAAGACAAGTTATATACCAGCTTGAGAAATATATAATGTAAAGATCATGATTATTTACAGATGCTAAATGATAATCAATCATCCCAGGCTTATAAGTAATAGCATGAATATTATGCTGGGTAATAAGTAGTTTTGTACTCTTATAAAGAAGATGATTTGATCAAGTAGAATGGTATTCCAATACCAAATTTGATTTCATAATCTTTTTATTAATCTTTCTTTTCCTTAAGTACCTATAATAATGAATATTGCAGTAAGGTAACAAATGTAATTTTTATGGATTAACAGAGAAATAAAGTATAAAATCTCTGTATATGTCAGATTGGCAAAAATAACATAAAACAACCACATACACATATATTGCTGTTAAGTGCCGTCGAGTTGATTCCGACCCATAGAAACTCTATATAAGGGTTTCCAAGGAGCAGCTGGTGAGCTTGAGCCAGGGACCTTGCAGTTCAAATGACTTTGATGTCTGACGCATTAGCCCACAGCGCTACACCCTGACTCCTCATACACATATACCTATATGTGTCATACACATACCTTTAAAAACCTAATCACAAAATCTTTGATTTGGTTGAACCTAATGGCAATATTAAGTAGACAAATGAATGTGCCATAAAACGTACAAAATGGAAAAAAATGTAAGCTATAAAGAATAGGAAGAAAAATGTTGTTGTTGTTGTTGTTGTTATGTGCTGTGGATTCAGGTCCCACTCATAGCGACCCTGTACAGGGTTTCTGAGGCTTACAGGAGCAGAAAGCCTTATCTTTCTCCCGTGGAACAGCTGGTAGTTTCGAGCTGCTGACCTTGAGATTCACAGTCTGATTGGTAGGTAAAATAAGCTCTGTAAATCTTGCATGATTGACAACAGTGGGGAAGTTTTGGATGGAAAAGTTTGGTAGCCAAATTGTATAGTGCTATAGAGTCAGTTCTGACTCCTAGAGATCCTGTGTAGGGTTTCCAAGGAACGGCTGGTGGTAGCTCAAAACAAAACAAAACAAAACAAAACAAAACAAAACAAAACAAAACAAAACAAAACCAGTTTACAAAGCATTACTGACTTTATTTCTGTGTAGGTATTTCTTTGTCAGTCTCCTGGATTCTTTTCTCTGTTGTCTAGCACATCTATACCTTAGATTTCAAAAAGATAACCAGACATCATTTTTAACCAACAGAAAATATCATTAATAGCAAATAAATAGTTTGGATAGTTTAAATAACAGAAGGTAATCTTTAAGTAGAAACCATTTACTCTTTCATCTTTTAAAATTCTACTTTAGAACCTACTGGAGTTAAACTGACTGAACACAAGCTTTCATGAATCACTTCTGACATCCAGGTAAACCAAAACATATTAACAGGCCATGACTTTGAGTTAATATGCAGCTTCAATTATGTGTTAAGTCAACTCAAGTATCCATTATGTACTCAATAATAGGTATGACACAACTCTGGACATCAGCAACACTATAAACAGCCAGGCACAGGCAGTTTGCTGAGACTGATTTTCCTGGTGGTAACATTCTTAAGAAATCTGGAAAATAGTAATTGAATAGTGTGTTTCTCATTAGAACCTTAAAATACCACACTACTAGATTTCTTTCTTTCTTTCTTTTTTTTTTTTGTAGTAACAACCATACTGCAGAATAATAGCTTAACACAGTATTTCAGAAGGATAGGAAATGTAGGATGCCAATATGGAGACAATGTTTAAATTGCCAGTGCAATATTTTCTGTTATAAATAAGAAAAAGAAGAAAAAACCCTTCGAACTTTAAAACTGCATTGATGTACATCATCATGTAACAAAATAAATGAAAAACAAAACAAAACAAAACAAACGCAAACAAACCCGAAAGACACTTTTAAATAAAACACAGTAGGGAAGGCAGCTGATCCTTAGAAAGGCACATGATTGTTTATTATGAAACATTTAGAGTCCGATGCATTTTCAAAGCTGGTTACAGTCATTCCCACAGCACACTCTTGTGAGGTAAGTGTATTATTACCCTTGGTTCATAAATGAAAAAGCTGAGACACTGAATGATTAACTCAGTAGCCTAAGGAGAATGAGTCAATGTGAAGAGTCATAGTTGACCCACCCAAGGGTTTAGTCAGAGGGGCCGGTGTGGTTCCCTGGCTGGCACTGGACTAGGATATTACCATTCATGTTAAAGCAGTGTAGTGGAACCGAACCGGCAGCGATTCCAAATAATTCTTAATCCCACGAAGGATTTAGCCCTAAAGTCTTAATCTCAGCATTTGGGACAGGAAAAACGTCGGGTCCACTCCCCCTCTTTACCCCAACAAGTGGCAAGTTGGTACTGTGAGCAGTTCCTTTCACCACCTTTCGCAGCGATGGCAATGAATGTTCACCAACATTAGCGAAGTCGGGGAAGTGGGAGGGTTGATTGCTTAAGCAACGACTTTACATCGCTGCCTCTTTTTGAAACGAAAAGAGAAAATGATGGCAGGCCAAAAGAAAATGAATTAAACATATAGCCAACGTGTCCTAGGACCTCAACTAAGCAAATGAAGACTTATTGTGCGTGTTGAGCCTGCAGTTCCAACCTTCAGGGGAAGATGGGAGGACAAGGCGACAAAGGGCACAGTAGGCATGCCTGGTAGTAAGTGCGACAGCAGCTATCCAGGCAGAAGAACAGAAGACTAAAAACCGCACGCCAGCACGCGAGCCGTCGCCGCGCGAACAGCTCACCCTAGCCATTGACCACGTGACCAGTTTTTTTTTTTTTAAAAAAAATACATCTTTGCGCTTGGAAAAAAAAAAAAAAAAAGGGGGGGTGGGGGAGACTCCACTTCCCAGAAGTCTCTTGTTAACCACGCAGCCGCAGTCTTGCGCAGGCGCCGCCGAGGCCAAACGGACACGTCCGTCACGTGGACAGTAGCCGGCCAATCCGGTTTGAATCTCCTTTTTTTCCTCTTACCCCCACCTTCAGGAGCGGTTGTGCGATCAGATCGATCTAAGATGGCGACTGTGGAACCGGTGAGTATTGCCTTTGGTCCCCCCACCCCCCACCGGTCCCCGCGCTCAGTCTCCTCTCGGACCGAGGGACTCCGCGGGACGGCGTTCCCGGCGCGCACGCTACCACTTACCGCCCCCTCCCCCTCGTCTTGTGCTTGACCTCTCCGCGGGCAACTTAGGGGCTCCCCGGAGGCTTGCCGTGGCGGCGTGTAGCTCCCACGTTCTGGTGGTGGGGGCCGGAGAGCTGGGGGAGGGGCGGCGCGGCTCCTCCTGCCGGAGCCGCGAGGTGTCTGCAAGTGTGGAGGGTAATCGGGGATCTGCGATAGGTGTATGGGGATTATGTCTGCGTTAGGAGGGCGCTGGCTCCGAGCCGGCGCCAGGAACTGAGAGAAGGGTGGGTGGCGAGCCGGCCTGGAATGAGATGGAGGAGGGAGCCCCGAAACAGCTTTTCCTCCCATCTGAGCCTCGGGTGGGGGCGCGCGCGAGTTTAATGACTGGTGGGCATGGGAGCCGGTGGGTTGCGGGAGAGTGAGTTGGGCGGGAGCGCCACGCGCGGGGAAGCTTCGACTTCACCGGGGGTGGGGTGGGGGGGGAACGGAGAGGGGCGAGCGCGTGTTACTCCGGAACGCCGGAGAGTTGCCTGGGTTGGCGGTAGGGGAGGAGAGCAGGGGTTTGGGGTGAGTGGGAAAATACGGTGCCGCACGACGAATCTCTCCGAATAGGATGAGGGTTAGTGGCGGCGAGAAGGGGGATCACATTGTCCTAGCCCCTCCACGCTTGAGACTGGGCTGTCATGGAGGAGGGAAGGGGGAGGAGCAAGGCCTACAGATTGCTGCTGCTGGTCTAGTTGCCTGTCGGACCTGCTGCATTTCACACGCGCCTGTCTTCCATTCATTCATTCTTTCCGCGCTGTGCGCACGCCTCGAGAGAATGCGAACAGTTCTAGATCCATCTGCTCTCCGTAGTCCTTACCCGAACATTTCGAAGGAACAGTTTATTAGAAATAAGAATTTAGTGTTTTAAGTTAATTTCCTGTTTGGTTCTCTTTATGCATTCTAAAAGGCATTCTGCTCAATTTCGGCACCATTTTAAAGCTTATTTTAGGGCAGAGAGTTGGTAGTTACCCCGGAAGAAACAGTAGCTTTTGTCAGTTTGGGTTTGCCAGCACTGACTCATTGAAATTTCAGGGCCTCGTTTGCTGTTTTAGGAATGTGACACCTCACTGACAATGCTTTGGAGTAATAATGTGAGTATATTAATTAGCAACTAGAAACTGTCGACACTGGAACCTGTTCAATGCCTTGGTAGCTAATTTTTTGTTTATCTTTCATGGTAGTTTGTAATGTTGGTAATGGTTTGCCAATTTGCTCTGACTTTTTAAGGACTTTTATAGATTTTTAAAAACTAGTCACCAGAAGGCTCATAGAAGATACAAAGGTTATTTTTCATTACATTAAACTATTCTTGTTGCCACAATTGAAGGCAGCTTGACTGTTCTTTTTCAGGTACCAATTTTCATTTACGTTTCTGAAAATTTGGTTGACTGCAAAACGGTCTCTTAGTTGGCTGGTATGATTGATATTGGAACACTAATGCTACATAAATAAGTAAGATAAGTATAAAATTTTTACTTCAATCACGACATGATCTGTTACCAGTGCACCAAACAAAACAATGTATTGAAATGTTAGCATTTTGATCCTTTCAGCTTTGTAAAACTGCAATTTTGTTTCCACAGCACAAAACCACAGTGATGGACTACTTTTGAGTCAATAAATATTTATAGCCAATCCTGTGTTTAATTGTGCCAAGTGTTCCTTAGGATTCAAAGTTATATACAAGACATAATTCTTCACTATAAACTGTTACGGAGCTTAGTTCCAAGTGATGTGATTAATGATACAATATAGTGATTTTTCCAGGGCTGACCCTAAGGAAATTTGGATACCCATTGCCATGGAGTTGGTTCTTAACTTATAGCACACTATAGTCTGGTAGCGTAGTGGTTACAAATCGCATTGCGAACCGCAAGGTCAGTAGTTGGAAACTACCAGCTGCTCTGTGGAAGGAAGATGAGGCATTCTTCTCCCGTAAAGATTAACAGCCTCGGGAACCCTGTTCAGGGTCGCTGTGGGTCGGAACCGACTCCAAGGCACATAACAACAATAGTACAAAGCAGAACTACTTCATAGGGTTTCCAAAGTGGTAAGTCTTTATAAAGCAGACTTGCCTCATCTTTCTCATGTGGAGTGGCTGCTGGATGTGAATCATGGGTCTTTCGCTTAGCAGCCAAACACAGTTAACCACTGAGCTGTCTGGGGGCCTTGAAATTTGGTTAGTACATTTAAATTGGGGAACCTCAAAACCTGTTTGTGGAGATGGAAGCCAGGTTGAAACCATAGATTTTTAAAAATGTGTGTTGGATAGTATGGAAGTCTTCATTTAAAGTGAAAAATGTACAGTTTTATTAATTTTAAACTATCCTTGTTTATAAGGAGCTCTGGTAAAGTAGTGGTTACAAGTCAGGTTGCTAACCTCAAGGCCAGCAGTTTGAAACTACCAGTCATTTTGTGGAAGAAAGATGAGGCTTTTTTTTTTTGTGCCTTATAAAGATTTACAGCCTCAGAACAGACAACCCTGTATAGGGCTGCTATGGGTGGGAACCGACTCCATTGCACATAACCATCACTACCATTTTTGTTTATAGCCTAGCCACTTAGAATTCTTTTAACAATTTAAGCTAGAGATTGCTCTCCCCTCCAGCAGCTGATTAGTATTACGCTGCAGTTGTACCCATAATGAAGCTGTGAAAACCTACATTATTTCAGCTACCTTGTGAGTTTCCTTGTTGATTTTCTACTATTCATTTAAAGTTCTGTGTTTTCCTGTTTATCCCACCTTTCATAGGTGTTTGTGTAGTTTAATTTTATGGACTTTACATGAAATAGTCATTCAGTTTGATAGTGTGTGGTTTACTCAAGCAAGGGCTTCGAACAGGTTCTTCCAGGCTCAGTCATGGCCAACCAAGCAAAACCAGAACAGATCTGAATTCGTAAAATGTGGGTGAATTGGAACTGTACTGGAAAAATTATGGATGACACCATGCCAGAAACTTATCTTCCTCTTAGAAAACAAGGACAGCATGCATGCTTTGTAGCAACCAAATCTCTTGACCAGCTGAGATAGAAACAGAAGTGCCCTGTTTAGAGATGGCCACAGACTGCGCTGCTTTGAAGGTGTTGCTTTCCTCATTGTGGCAGTTTTTCAGATTCCCACATCAAGTTCCTGAAAGAGCTCACTATGCTTGAGTGTCCCATTCCAGGGCTTCTACCCATAATTTTTACCATTTGGTTATCATTGGACTTCACCCAAATCTTAAAATTGTTGGATCTTTTCCTATTTCACACCATTGGTCACTTTGAACCCCAGATGTCAAGTGTGTGTGTATGTATGTGAGTTCAGTTACATGAAATTATGGCTTTCAAATATTTGTTGAGAAGTTTTATGGGGCAAATTTATTTTATTTTAGTAATTTTATACATGTAATAATGTTTGGTATGGTGCTGCGGGTTAATGTTAAGTGCCGTCAAGTCGATTCCGACCCATAGTGACCCTGTATAGGGTTTCCGAGGAGCAGCTGGTGATCTTGATCCGCTGACCTTGCAGTTCAAATGGCTTTGCAGTCTGGTGCATTTACCCACAGCGCCACAATGTGCTGGACTGCAAAATTGGTTTGAACGGCATTGTCAGTGGTTCAAGCTCCCTAGCCACTCCTCAAAAATCCTATGTAGGGTCACTGTGAGGTGGAACCCATTCGACAACAATTAACAACAATAATGCCTGGACCATGTAGTAAGTATTCAGTGGAAAAAAAAAATTTTTTTTTTTTTTTAACTTTTTAATGTGAATTGAGTGAAGATTTGCAGACAAGAGCATCATCTTTACAAATTCAGCAAATCATACACTTTGTTTCATCTCAATGAATACAATCCCTTTTGTGCAACAGCAGTTATCCTGCTTTCTCCTTATAGTTCCTGTTTGTACTCCTAGCCCTTCTCAACTTTGTCATTAGGCATATGTAGCCTTTTTGATTTTGAATGATTGACAATTCCATGGTGATGAGCATACCTTGCTAATGGTGTTGTCATGCGCCCCCCCCCCCCAACTTATCTACTGCTTTGCTTAAAATTGGGCCATGAGCGTGAGTTCTTTTCCAGATCTTTGTCAAATTCCTCCAGTTGCTTTCTGACCAGTAAACTTTATCTTTTATAAAAATTTTAATATTAAGGAACTTTTGAGTTTTGTTCCACATTTACTCCTCTAATGTGATCCTTCTCAGAGCAGTTGGTAGTGTTAGCCAGGTACTTGGTCTGGTTCTGCTCTTACTCAGAATCATGGCGACTGATGTTCCTATGTTTCATTAGTCCACTGGACTAATTGATGCCAAGTCTCTTCGATTCTTATTACTCTTCTTCACATGGAGAGACCACAACAGCACCTTAGATAGCTAGCTGCTCATGAACTTTCAAGATCCTGAATGCTACTCACTCAAGCAGAATATAGAACATTGTGTTTGTAGAGTATATGTTGTTCCAATTGACTGACTATGGTCCTGAGCCCTTTGGCCCATAAACTCATTGCATTAAGATATTTGACAATGTCTAGGAAATTGTCATAGTTTTGCTTGCTGTGTACTCCACCACATTCATAGTTGTGTGTACATGAAAGGTGAATAAATACTTACATACAAATATCCTCTTTTAAACTCATAGTGAGAGTTTCCAAGCAGTGGCTAGTGAGTTTGAACTGCCAACTGTGCAGTCCAGTGCTTTATCCCACAGGCCACACAGGACTTCATTTGTGAGATTTTTTTTTTAAGGCGTTGTCAAGTTGACTCCGACTCAGACACCCTATATAGGTTTTCCAAGGAGTGGCTGGTAATTTGAACTGCCAGCCTTGTGTTTCAAACTGACCTTGCCATCCAGTACTTTATTCCACAGTGCTACACCAGGATAAGGGGGAGTATTTAATCTCTTTAAAGGTAATATGGCAGAATTTTGAACTTTGAGGCAAAAGGTACTCTCCTGTTACTGGCAAGGTCAAGATTACACGTAACAATATTGTTGTTGGTAAGTGCTGTTGAGTCAGTTCTGACTCAACAGTGATCCTGTGTAGGGTTCCTGAGGAGAAGCTGATGGGTGTGAACTGATGACTTTGCGGTCCAGT